CCCAACTGGGATTGAATTGGCCTGGAGTGGGACCAGGCACAGGGCTCTTCTAACCTCCTGCCGGTAATTCTAATGCATAGCTGGAGCTGAGAACCACAGCTCTAAACTGCAGTCCACATATAAAATGGGAAAGGTAACACTTCCTTCATAGGGTTGTTTTAAGAATTAAGTGATATAGCTTATAGAAAGAGTTAAGCATAGTGCTTGGCAAATGCTAAAACACTGGACAAGTGGTAGTTATTGTTACGATAACCCTCAGACTTAGCAGATCTGTGCTACTCTGTCGTGTCATAAAAGGTACAGGCTTTTGAGTCAGGCAGCTTGGATTTAAACCTCAGTCTAAGACATTTAGAGCTGTGTGATCTTGGGTACAAGATCTAAGCCTCAGTTTCTTCATCTGTAAAACGGGGATTCTTATCATAGGGGGGTTACGTAAGGTTTACAAAGCACAACGCCTGGCATCTGGTAAGTGCTCCAAAAATGTTGACATTACTTGCAATCATTGTTTTCACTGCTTGTGAAGTTCCTGATGATTCAAACCACATGGATCTCTCCTCTCTCTTTATTTCTTTATTAAGAATTTAGCTTGTTTGGTGCTTAATGCACTGGTCAGTTCCCATACCGATATACTCAGCCTGGAGCTCTTTTTAGATAGATCCTTGTTCTCTTCAATTTCTGTTGAGTGTTGTTTTTATGCCAAACTCAAAAGGAAGGGTCAGTTAGTAGTTTTCAGGCGATTTGGGGAAGATGATTCTGTACCGAGCACCAATTCAGATTGTCAGTAAGGAGAAGCGCGCACGTCTTCTGCAACAGACACAGAAAATTCTCCGTAAATGAATCTATCCTGTCTCAGAAAACACATTTTCTTAAGTAGAAGACGATTTAGAATCTACATTGGTTTAAGTCTAGTTTCTACTTTAATATGAACTTATAATTCTACCAGATCTCCAGTGACGTTAGAAAGTTGCATCTGGGTAGGTTCTTTGGTCAGTCTTCCCACTAGTTTCATGAACTTCTCTGTTTCGCTTCTTCGATGTCATTTTACAAAACATGTTTCAAGTACAGCATAAATGTTTTACTGGTTTTCCAGTATCTGGATATCCAGGGTTTCACTGTTTGTTTCCCTGTTTTATCTAAGTCTTCTTGAATGTATTGCTGTTTGTTTTGCTGATTTTATCTCAAATTTTTTTTTTTTTTAAAGAAACGCTTCCTTTTGAACTAACAAATGAGTACTCAAGAAGGGCCATGAAGTCAGGATTGGCAGGTTGAAAGACCTTTCCCCCTGTCTATTGCTCTGGAAGTTTGTTGCTATCTCTCACTCTCTAAACTTTGAGACTTAGAAGCTTTGGGAGGAATGTGTGAGGAAAGAGGAAAAAGGTGAAGAGGGTGGAATTTTAAATTCTGACTTATTCTTTTGTGGAAGGTGCTTCATAAATAAAAGCATTATTATGTATGTGTTTGCTTTTTTAAAAAATAAATTTCTGGAACCCATGATTACATGACAATAAAATGCATTTTGGGACTTCCCTGGTGGTCCAGTGGTAAAGAATCCGCCTTCCAACGCGGGGGACATGGGTTCGATCCCTGGTCCGGGAAGATCCCACATGCCGCGAAGCAACTAAGCCTGTGCGCCACAACTACTGAGCCCACGCACCTCAACGAGAGAGCCTGCATGCCACCAACTGCAGAGCCCACGCGCCCTGGAGCCCGCACGCCACAACTAGAGAGAGAAAACCCGCACGCCACAACTAAAGAGAAGCCTGCATGCCACGACGAAGAGCCTGTGTGCTGCAACTAACACATGGCGCAGCCAAAAATTAAATAAAATATTAAAAAGAAAAAACAATAAAATGCATCTCACACTTGTTTCTTCCTGAACCTATCATGCTGCATGGAAATACAGAGAACTTCATATTTTTAGCAAGTATTTGTCAACACCTTCTTGGAAAAATCTGCTAGTAAGACATACCGATTCTTACTGGTCATACAAATAGCTGTATGTAAAAATATTTGATTAACCTTTTACAGTTTACCTAGTCCTTTTCACAAACATGATTTCATTAATCCAGTGAAGTATTATCAGGATTTGACAGAGGCAGAAAGAGGTTCAGAGGCGTTAAGTGACTTGAGGTCTCCCAGCCAGTGAGTAGAACTCTGTCACAAACCCATGACTTTTGAATCCAAACCCCAATCTCTTTTTGCTACGCCATACTAAAGTCAAGGGCAAAATCCTCCATGCACACAAAACACTAAACATTAGAGGGAAAACAAATAGTTTGGGTCGTGACCAGAGAAATCCAACTAAACAATCTGGCTAGCTGAAACCTACAGTTAAAAGACTTTTTTTCTAGTTGCAGTTAGTTCTTGTCTTAACCTTTGGTCACTGGTGTCCTGAAATGTGTTGGTTCCATGGCATCAAGAATTGACTCGTCCTCATGTACCACAATGTTCATTGCAGCTCTATTTACAATAGCCAGGACACGGAAGCAACCTAAGTGTCCATCGACAGATGAATGGATAAAGAAGATGTGGCACATATACACAATGGAATATTACTCAGCCATAAAAAGGAACGGAACTGAGTTATTTGCAGTGAGGTGGATGGACCTAGAGTCTCATACAGAGTGAAGTAAGTCAGAAAGAAAAACAAATACTGTATGCTAACACATATATATGGAATCTAAAAACAAACAAAAAAATGGTCATGAAGAACCTAGGGGCAAGATGGGAACAAAGACGCAGACCTACTAGAGAATGGACCTGAGGACACAGGGAGGGGGAAGGGTAAGCTGGGACAAAGTGAGAGAGGCATGGACATATATATGCTACCAAACGTAAAATAGATAGCTAGTGGGAAGCAGCCACATAGCACAGGGAGATCAGCTCGGTGCCTTGTGACCACCTGGAGGGGTGGGATAGGGAGGGTGGGAGACGCAAGAGGGAAGAGATATGGGGATATATGTATATGTATAATGGATTCACTCTGTTATAAAGCAGAAACTAACACACCATTGTAAAGCAATTATACTCCAATAAAGATGTTAAAAAAAAAAGAATTGACTCGTCCCGCTCATCCTCTACTTTCCATCTGGTCCACTGTTCAGTACAGGCTGTCTTGAACTGCACAGTGTTTACTGTATCAGTTGGTTTTAGGGTACAGCTGATGTACAAATGCATTTTAGCTTTAGTTCCTAATTTTCAGCATGGAGCAGCGCCACACTGACCTGCTGCCGAGTGTCTACAGCTTCCCTATCAAACAGTGCTAAGGCTCCTTGGAGGCTCGGGGCCCATCAGAGAACCAACACACAGATTTCTGCCTTGTTTTGTGACTCAGGATAGCTGTTGGGATCTAAAGCAGTTATGGTCTTTAAAGTATCAACCTAATGCTCCTAAGTTCCTCTTACAGTTAGTCTTTCTCCCAGAGGTGGAGATGGCATGATTCAGAACCTCCATTTAGCTACACTGGATCCAGGCTACAAGCCTGTTTCTCAGCCCAGTGTCCTGGGGCCCATCCACCCACCAGGCTCAGCTGCATTGGCCAAGAGTAACAGTGCATCTGCACGTTTCCGAGCAAATCCCCAAGATCTTGTCGATACTTTACAACAAACACACACATGCTCATTCACACGGTCTTAAGGACTAAGGCTATTTATCTCTGTCCTCTAAAATTAGCATGTGCCAGGCATGTGGCAGGTGCTCGGGAAAGAGTTCTAACTGGATTCTCAGCCTTCTGCTGGCATTCACATCTATCAGATGGAATTACCCACTTTTAGTTAGTTTTTATTTTTACCAACAACTGTAATGTAGGCCCTAGCTATACCATCTGGATTAGGCCTCTTTAAAAATACCATTTATCTAAAGCATGTGCAGCAGGATTCCTACTAGTTCAGGAATTATTCACGGGGCAGTTATTGCCAATACTTCCAGCGTTGGAGGGAAAGAAAAGTATAGTTGGAGTAGTTGCTGCACGTGCTCCCACCTGTGTGCTTCGCTCTCTTCCTGAGAGGTAGGAACGAGGTTAAAGGTACGTCACTTGGCACAACAATGTGCATATAGTTAGCACTTCTGTACTGTGCACTTAAAAATCGTTAGGATGGTGAATTTTATGATTTTACCACAATAAAAACAAAGTACTTAAAAAAATTTCCTTGATGGTGCTAGAGATCTTCAGAATTCTTGGAAAAAAAAGAAAAATCAGAGAAGCCCTTGCAACCTCATTGGAAACTCACTGCTAGAATATAACACAATGAGCATCGAGCTCAACTGTATACAACTCACCTCTCATAGAAATAACGTCTTACACACTTTGATCTCTGGTTAAGTTGGTTAAGTCCAACCTTTTTCACAGAACTTGCAAAGCCCTTCACAGTCTGGCCTTTGTCTATTTCATTATGACTAACCCATACTAGTTAGTGGTCGTTTTTCCAATTCCTTGAACGGGACAATTTCTTCTTACCTTAGGGCTTTGCAAACGGCGTTCTCTGTGCCTCAAACGCTTTTCCACCATTTTTCTTCTGCCTAACTCTAATTTATTCTTCTGAGCCCCGCTTAAATATCATCTCTTCAGGGACGCCTTCTTTAAAATACCTAATGAGGTTTGGGCCCCTTGCTATCTTTGTGGATCGATCCATCGATCCATCGATCCATCCACACTCTCACAGAAGTCTGGTCTGGATTTTTCTTTTGTAGCATGTAATACAATTGTATTTATGTAATTATGTAATATTAGGTTCTCCCTCAGGACTGAAAGTTCCACAAGGTACGGACGGTTTGTTGCAAACCATTGTATTACCCAGGCTCTGGTAGCCTGTATACAGCAGGTACCCAATGCTCTCTTAACAGACGCAGCCTTTTATCCCACAAATTTATCTTACAGATATTCTCAAAGGAGTAGGTGGAGAGGCACATCAAGTTTGTGAGCTTGGTGGTGGAGACAGTAGCTGAACAGCCAGAGAGATGAAAGAGCTTAGGGCTGGCCAAGTGGGGAAGCAAGAAGGGAGTAACGAGGGTGTTCATTTAATGAGTTTCCCCTCCACTCCGCCAACATCCCATCCCCTCCCAAACAAGTCATTCAATAGTAATCATGCACTCATTTCTCTGGGGAATAAGGTAAACTTCAGATTACAGAACCAAGGTAAACAATGTTGCAGAATTAAAATGTGTTCAAGAAACCAGTCACAATTCAACTGCATTAGACTTCAGCACGGAGATGACTGTATTCCTCTGAATAATCTTCAACTTAGGAAGCTTGTACTCCTCCAATATGTGAAGGGACAATAAATACACTTCGTCCTGCTCTTGGTTGCTGAGGGAGAAGTCCTCCCCTGATGGCCCAACACTATTTCCTTTTTGCTGCTCTCTTCCCTTCTCCTTTCCTTGGTTTCCCCTTTCCACGAAGCTTCTTCAGACGCCGCTGCTCATCCTTAAAGTCCTGATGCTCATCTCTGAAAAGAGAAAGAAAAAAAAAGTAGCCAGTATTTTTATCAGACTGGAGAAGTACACCAATCTAGAATGTTCTCTTAGGTGGTTCTGGTTATCAAGCTTTGACTTCTACAGGGCGCATGCTCAGCTTGGTGAACAGAAAGGACAGGGAACCCCCGACATACAGATGGGCTGTGTTCCCAAAGTTCATTTCTAGGTCAGTTTTCCCTCACAGAAACAATGCTACCAACAGCTTAATTACCAAACCCGCCCGTGTAAACCTAGGTAACAAGGATACAACACTAATAATTGCCCCAAATTTCCCTGTAACACTAAGACTAAACACTGAAGGGGGCAGAAAGTGGGTGTAAGCTTCAACAGCTACACGAGACCCTGAGGGGCCCAGGGATTAGCACCTGCTACAAAGGGGAAAGGTCTGGAGGAAACTGCCCTGATGGCAGTGGATGATTCACACAAAAAGGCTGCCAGGGAAAGTCTCAGGCAGAAGGAAGCCGGATCAACAGACAGATCCTCCAGGGGTCAAGGCAGCCAGGACTGTCTGTACATACGAATGAAGACTGCCTGTACTGTATAAAAATATCTGCATTCTAAGATCAAATACGGTCAGTATTCTTGGGGGACTGGCTCTAGGACCCCCCCCAGATACCGAAATCCACTGATGCTCAAGTCCCTTACGTAAAACAGCATAGTATTTGCATATTCTACACACATCCTCCTGAATATTTAAAATCATCTCTACATTACTTATAACACCTAATACAATGTAAATGCTATATAAATAGTTGCCAGGTGTGTGGCAAATTCAAGTTTTGCTTTTTGGAACTTTCTGGAATTTTTTTTTTTTAATATTTTTGATCCGTGGTCAGTTGAATCCGCAGATATGCAACCTGCGGATATAGAGGCCCTCAAACAGTATAGTGTTTAAATATGTAAGCTGTGGAACCCATCTGACCCTGGGTTCAAGTCACAGCTCCACCATTCAGTAGCTGTGTGACCTTGGATAAGGAATCTTCCCTCCCTGCCCCTTGGTCTCCTCACCTGTAAAAGGGTGGATAATGGTGTACCAATTAAATGTAAGAGAGGGGTTTGCTGGGCCCAATTTTTAACTCCCTAGGCTGTTTTACTTTATTTTTTTATTTTGGCCGTGCCATGTGGTCTGTGGGATCTTAGTCCCCCAACCGCATTGAACCCAGGCCCTTAGCAGTGAAAGCTCAGAGTCTTAACCACTACACTGCCAGGGAATTCCCCCTAGGCTGTTTTAAAATAGATCAGTTTTATAGGGTATGATGTTTCATTCCATGAACATGATAGATACAACAGACCTCTTAGGGATCAGCTATGATTGCCCCCCATTTAAGTCATTCTCAAAAACAGAGTAATTCTTCTGAAATATAAGTCAGATCATGTCACTCCTGTTTACAACCCGGCAAACCGCTCCCCGTTTTACTCAGCCCCCTGCACAATCCACCTCCTGTCCCACTGTTCTCCCCTCAGCCTGTGCAGCCCCTGGAACAGAGGAGGAACATTCCAACTCAAGGCCTTTGCTCTGCTCTTGTCTCTGCCTTGCAAGCTCTTCCCTGGGTCCCACCTGGCTCACTCACCACCCTCAAGTCTCTGCTTAAGCCTCATCTTCTCCATGAGGCTAACCCTGACTGTCCTGTTTAATACTGTGCCCTGTCCTCTCCCCGCCCACTGAGTGCCCGGTCAGCACTCTTGATCCTGCTCAGCAGGCTCTACTGTTTTTCTTCCCTGTAGCACATTCAACTTTGTAACACACCACATAATTTACTTATTTAATATGTTTCCCCCTCCTCCTTCCCTCACCACCCCCCGCAACCTTTCCCGACAACCTCCTCCAGAGAGCAAGCGACAAAGGCAGGGGTCTTTGTCTCTGCTGATGGACCAGCCCAAGCACCTGCTTGGCTGAATGAGTCACTGTTTTTGAGAACCTGCTTCCCTCCCTGTTTTGTAGGTCTCTGAGTAAGATTTTCTTCATTGAAGACTGTCTAGTTTCATCCTGCCTGACTTCCCAGGAGGCCTTGTGTTAGAGGCACCATTTACCATAACTAGTGGCTAAATATGAAAATAATTGTGCTTTTCCATGGATAACTAAATGCTAAGTATTTTTTCTCTGTCCCCAAAGATAGTTAAGGCTTTATTTTTCAAACAAATGGAGAGTAGCAGCAAACAAGTAAATTAAAATAACTGAATGTATTTAATTTGGTTATGGGTTAAGATTTTCTACTGAGGACATCTACCTTCCAATATTTTATTTGGGGTAAGAATAAAATTAATTTTTATTTTTTGAGCTGAGACTAATGGCAAGGGAGATAATCCCAAAAGCAATTCCAGAAATTCAAAATACGTCATGGACTATCATCTCTAGTAATATATTAACTAAGAAAATCTATTCTATTTTGTTCATTGCTATTCCCCTTATGCCCATCTTAAGTGCCTGTACATGGAAGGTACTTAAAAAAAAATCTATTGGATAAATGAATGTACCAATCTGTAGTTATCTGGAATGAACTATTAATTTTATTATATTAGCGCAAACAGTCCCAAATTAATGTTTGTATTGTTGCCCTAAGACAAGTCCAATTAAAACTTGTTAAATTGAAAAAAAAAAAGTAGGCATTTTAACTTTATACAATTATGTACTGTTTAAATTCTTTTATAATGAGCATGTATTTGTTTGGTAACTAAGACATTTTTTTAAAGAAAATGGTCACATGGGTATTTGATCTTTTTTCTTTCTAGAGCAGTATATCATCTTAAGCACCCACTTCCGACACATACACAAACATACAAATGCATGGTGGAAAGAGCCTGCTACTCTTACTATTACATATTATTATCCTATTATAATGTTGATTACATATTATAAACTACAGCTTATTTAGACCAAATTAGTATACCAAAAAGGGTACCAACAAAAAGTGTCCAAAGAGGGTGAAAGGAAATAAGAAATCCTACAAAACTGCCATCAGGAAAGGAAGGAGGCTCCCCCTCACCAGTTAGGAAGCAGGGACTCTTTTCATCTGACCAACAAGAATGTGCTCAGTGTTTAGACCAGTTTTCCTCTGCATCCATTGAGTGCTCTTAGATTAATGACTAATTTAACATCTCACTATAGCTCAGTATCTAGTCAATGTTAGTCACATTTTAGACATAATTAAATTATGTCTTCCAATAAGTACATGTTTCCTTTTTTTTTTTAAAGTATATTCATTATGGATATTTTGAAAGCTTTCCCCTCCCACAACTGTACCTTTTGAACTACCTGAGCACTATTATAAGAACCACAAAACTATAAAGATAGAAAGGCTAATTTTTTCCTTTTCTGATCTACTAAACAAATTTCTTATAGGTTACTCTTCGTGTGTGTTTTTTTTTTTGTCATTACCTGTAGAGTCCAAGAAAACGTAGTGTCCCCATGAGTGCAAAATAAGTGTTGTGATTAGGATACCAGTCATAAGTCTCCTTCCTCTTGGCCAAAGGCTGCTCGCTGAACAGCTTCACCACTTTCATGGATTTGGAATCAGCAGGCCTGGCAACTTCACCAAACAGCCGGGCGCTCAGACGACTCATGCGCAAGGCATATTCTGAAAGTGACGACATTTCTTGCACAGCAAGGAGCAAGAGTCCCTATAGAGAATGAGAAGAAAGATAAACAGGTTAGTGCAAGAAATTCCCAGATTATCGAATGAACAGTTTACAAAGTGAAAACACGGCAAGCCACATGTGAATCAGTTCACATCTTTGGCAGGACGTGCCTTGGCACTGAGAAATATCCACAGTCCAAGTGGCTATTTCCTTTGCATGCTTTACATGTTTTGCATCTTTTTTTTTTTTTTTTTTGCGGTATGCGGGCCTCTCACTGTTGTGGCCTCTCCCGTTGCGGAGCACAGGCTCCGGACGCGCAGGCTCAGCGGCCATGGCTCACGAGCCCAGCCGCTCCGCGCGCAGCATGTGGGATCCTCCCAGACCGGGGCACGAAGCCGTATCCCCTGCATCGGCAGGCGGACTCTCAGCCACTGCGCCACCAGGGAAGCCCCTTTTTGCATCTTTTACATTTGGTGTTCACACACTATTACGCCCCAGCTGTACTGCCTCTTTTACAATGAACGATTTTATGACTCAATAGGTTATTTACTGAGAGTCAGCTTACCTATTTGTAGGCTAGATGAGGACAGGGAAACAAGTTATCCTACCACAGCATTGTTATTATACCTTCAGAAAACACCTACCTCAGCAATCTGCATAATAAATATGCTGACTGCTTGCCACCTAAAGGTTTAATCATGGTGGAGAAATAATTATGCTGTTGTCTTTATTATCAGCCCTTTGAATGCTGTTCTCCTCAAGGGCTCCAGATGGCTCTAAGAACAGCTAATGAGTTATGAGGTCATTTAGCCTCCAGGTTGCCGGATTGAATTCTGCCTAGAGACCGAGAGCCAGCTGGGAAAAACAAAGATAGTAGTCTTATAGGAATTAACTCAACAGCTCAAAAGATTCATTTTATTCCTGAACAAAAGGCATTTATGAATTGTAATGTTACTTGCCTTATCTTCCATTTTATATATTCTGCTTTAATGAAAATTAGCTAAATTCTTATTAGCTGAAAACAGTAACTTTTTCTTCAGAGGCATAGAATGTTGAAATAGTATAAGAATGATATCTGTAATATGCAGAAATTATAGGTACTATATATCGAAGATTATATACGTGATACATAAAAATCAAGAACGTTCACAGGTACTACAGCCAATATTTTATAATAACTGTAAATGGAGTGTTACCTTTAAAAATTGTGAATCACTATATGGTACACTTGTAACATATAATATTGTACACCAGCTATACTTCAATTTAAAAAAAAGCATTTGAGAGTTCCTTATCTGAAAAAAAACAAAAAACCAAAGAATGTTGCTGGTGGAATAACACTCATTCCATTCTAGTTCAAATGTAAGGGTACCTGTTGGCAGAATATGCTAATTTACATGAAATCTTTATAGTGAGATGAGAGTCTTTGCTGACTAAGACAGTATCCCGGGGGGCAGTTCAGCTGGGATGAAAAGGAGTTGATCTCCAAATAGAAAAAAGGCATAAACCTATCTTGAAAAACCAAGAGAAGAAATATATTAAAAAACCCTCCTAAACAGGAATGCTGCCAAGTTAATTTCAAAACTGCTCTGGCAATTTAAATATCCAGTATTTAAATTAAAGATTTTTTCATGTCCATTCCAAGATCCATTCAAAGAGCAGAGGATGACCTCAAACCAATTTCAGAATGTCAGTCTCAAACCATTTACCTTCTGAACACCAACCGAGCAATCTTGGGCCAATAGCGCCACCTGAAGGCCAGCAGTGGGAGAACTGTCCAAGGTCTCTCCCCTCCAACCTGGGATCTGTGCAAACCTTACTTACTCCTTCTTTTTCCTTTCAGCACTCAGTTCTAGGATTCCTTTCTCTCCCAACTCTTGCTCCATTATGTGGATGGGGATGGATTGGGGTTGTCAGAGATGTATAATTTCATCAATGAGAAAAAAAGTCATTAACAGTTAATGTATAAAGAGAAAACAGTCAGTGCTATAAACCTCTAAAGGCCTTGCAAATTACCAGAAGTTGCCTTCAGAAGCTACAAATTTTCCTTGCATGCATTATCTTTTGTCTTCTTTCCACCTTTAAGGTTATCTTTTTCCCAAACATCAGACAAAAAAACTTAAAAACAAAAGGTTTCTTAATCAACTTTTCTTTGTTTTGCTTAATTACCATTATGGCATCAGAACAGATTTCTGTTGCCATTGCACAATATTTCCAGGATCAGTTATTTGTAAGGTGGTCTAGGAACTATCATTTTGCTACAAAATTTTCACGAAAATATGTTCTGAACACCAAATCATTTTATTTTATTTGCGGTACGCGGGCCTCTCACTGTTGCGGCCTCTCCCATTGCGGAGCACAGGCTCCGGACGCGCAGGCTGAGCAGCCATGGCTCACGGGCCCAGCCGCTCCGCGGCATGTGGGATCTTCCCGGACTGGGGCACGAACCCGTGTCCCCTGCATCGGCAGGCGGACTCTCAACCACTGCGCCACCAGGGAAGCCCCAAATCATTTTATTTTTAAATGAAGAGGCAGCATGGAATCCTGAGGCCTAGGTTTGAGTACTGGCTCTGCCACTCATCAACTGGGTTATTTTGAACAATTACCTATCCTCTCTAAATATGAGTTTCCTTTTCGAAAAACAAAGCTTGAAGGACCATGTGAGAAACAAGACAGTGGCACTGAATCAATGGTAAACTAAAAAAAGAGAAAAGGAAAAACCTGAACATGCTTGGTGTTCATACGTTCTATACAGACACATTTGTTTATTCCTTGTCCTAATTTAATCATGTAAAAAAGCATATGCATACTCCATGTAGTTGAACCTGCACCTCCCTGGAATGGTATCCTCACTTATAGACAATGACAGCCAGAGAAACATAGACGAGGGGACCAGCAGCTTGGTAACCTGACAGGTAGTAAGGAGGGAGGGACTCACTAGGACAGTGGTCACGGAAGCCTTCCCAGGATGCTAAGTTATCTCTATGCCCACCATGGAATGTAGCAAAGTACTGGGACACATAGCTCGTAAATAATAAGGTCTCATTAGAATCCAATGGAAATGGTCATATCACAAAATCCAAGTCCTAAAACTTTTATGATGGAGAAAGAGAATAAGCCTCTCCAAACCTGAATCCTTTACTAGAAACAAAGAAACACTCGCTAAATAGAAGCAAACTGAAAATGGCTATGACAATTGCCAATTACTGCTTTGTAGTCTCTAACAGAGCACAGACCTGTATGCTTCTGATGAAGTACAGCATAGGAGCTTGGTAAACCTTTCTGTTACATAGACTAAAACAGCTCACAAGTTCTGCTGTCCATAAATATTGGTCCTGAGACTGGCAAACTGCCACTCTATTAGCTTTACATTTTTTTAAAGATTGGAAAGCCTTATCTAGGATTTTTCAGGACCCTGGTATGCCCCTTTACAGAAACTTTCAACTTTATCTTAAAAAAACCATGATGACCGTGTGAAAGACATTAAGGTAAAAGGCAAAAAAATTAGATTTTTATTCACATGAAGCTATTCTAAGGGATAGAGAATAGTCACTTAAAATATCAAATTTTCTTTAAATGTGAACTAAAGAAAACAGTGTCATGAAGAAAAATTACCTGGACTTGAAAATGCTAAGCAAAAACAAATTACTGAAATGTGCCGGAGCAAAACATGTTAAACCCATAGGAGAAAATATCCATCTCTTTACTTTAGCATAAAAGGCTAAGTTTCTCTGATGGTTCTGATAGGTCTGATGCATTTAAAAGGTCAGGTTTATACAGTAACTGGCTTTGGATTAGGTTTGCTTTTTTTCTTTGAAAAGTGCAGATAATGTGCAGGAGTTCTTAACCTGGGTAACCCTCCGTGTGGTGAATCCCCGGGGGGGAACTTTAAAAGTGAATGCTGAAATGTGTGTGTGTGTGTGTGTGTGTGTGTGTGTGTGTGTGTGTGTTTGTAAATTCTGCTGGGGAGGGAGGTTTCTCAAAAACCACGGGTTAGTGGAGAGCGCCAGCTCTGGAGTAGAAAAGCTGGTTGGAATCTTGCCTCTGCACTTTAATAGACATATCGTGTTTGCAGTAGTATGTATTCTTTGCCTTCGTTTTCTCATCTACTACAGGACAGTTGTACTATCTCACTGAATTATGAGGCTGACGTGCGAAACTCATGGCCCAGGGCCTGCCCTAATAGTTATAGTTATCAGGCCTCAAGGAACTCACACAATGTGCACACGTGTTTCACAGAAAAACAATCTAGACACAGCGCTTTTTTTTTTAAAGCCCAGTACCGCTTATTTTACTGGGCCGCAGAGGCACGAACGGCTCTGAATGGATGTCAAGCTTTACTCAGTTCAACAAGAACACCCCCAACCTCCTCAAACTGCCTGGATCACGCCTGCCTGTGATGGAAGCAACAGTGTCAAGTCAAGCGACGTTTGAATCGGTAGGGCATTTCGCTAATATTTTTCTTAAATATCATTCAATCATACTTTTCTGAAGCTAGTAACAAAACTAATCTGCACCCCCAGCCCCACAAAGCTAAGGCCAACTGATGAGCAGAGAAACCGAGCCTTGAATGCTGCCTAAACAGGAAGAGAGTAACTGCGCCGGAGAGGAAACTAGGCTAGCGTCCTTCGTTTGGTAAATCACCCAAGTTATGCAGGAAAAGGCCAAGTTGTTTGGGGGAGACCTGTGAAACCTCCGAGCTGTTTAATGAAATTGTCTCGTCCTATTCCTGGCGACTTTACAAAGTTGGAGACCTCCACAGGGTCTCTGCAGCCATTGCCCATAACTCACTACGTGCCCCCCCTAACAGTCACCTACAGACTTACCTACTCGCAAGCCTCCTCTGCCGCGTGCCCCTTTCCCGGAAGGCCCGCCCCCCAGTTCCAGCCGGAGACTTCAGCGGGGAGCAGTAGAGAAACGGAAGTTTGGCGGCTAGAGTGGAGCATTAGTGAGAGACCCGGAACTCCTACCGTCTGACCTGGCGCCTGCGCAGTGAGACGAGCGCCTCCAGGTGAGCGGAGGACTGACGGAACGCAGGTTCAGGGGCGAGAGGCCTGGCTTTCATGAACGTCCTGCAGGGTTCGCTAACTCTATTTTGTTGGAAATGGCTATAGTGCTGACCCCCACCCCCCAACCTCTGAAGCAGTGTTTATGCGTGTGCCATGTGGTGGAGAATGAAATGCATTTTTTGTTTTTTCTTTTCCTCCTTCCACTTTCTTTCTGCGTGATTTCTTTCTCTTTTCATCCAGCTTAGGCCTTGACGTGCTCCAAGCGCATTGCTTAACTTTAGGGGCTGAAGAAACTTCTGACTTATCAGGGGTGCCATTCCCCTCCCTCCCACCGATCTACTCATCTCTAACAGTCAATTAGTATCGCTTCCCGGAGGCCATTCTTGATACCCCTTTGCTGGATTAGGGGAGCTATTTGGAGTGCTCTGTGTTTCTCTACCCCACTGGCCTGGAAGCTTCTTCAGGGAGTAGGGATGGGGTATTTATCTGACTCCTCAGTAGTTATCTAGACCCCGCTTGACAGTAGAAACACTGTATTTTACTCCATAAGAGATCTGCTCTCAAGCAAGCCATATAGGCATTGGCTGAAGCATTTGTTGAATATTTAATAGTTCAGCTGAGAACACTTCTTATTTTCTGAGCATTTTTCAAGGCCTGTCATAAATACTCTAAAATGTACCCCGGAATTAAGGTAAATCAGTGGTGAGCTATATTCCTAGAGGGTATTCTATTGACACCCTCTTCCCTCCTATAGAATTTTGTTTTATTAACTTAGGTTTTGATATCTTATCAATATATGCTATAGAATTTGTTTTTATCAAGTTAAGTTTTGATATGTTATCAACCTATGATATAATTAGTAGCCTTGTTAACTTGGGTCTGGCTTAAGAACTTGACACAGGGTGTAATGAGTATAGCATGCATAGCTCAGTCCAAAAGAAATATCCTGGGTAGGAATTTCACCTTGTCTTGGCTTGTTTTTATCTAATAACCACTGAATCACACAAACAAGGAGACTTCATTTGAATACTGGCTGTTAGAAAGTTTAAAGCCAAATTTGCTGTGGACTCATGGCAGGAACTATTATATGTATATTTGCATAAACAAATATAAACCTTGTTGTTGGCTCTGTTTTGCATATATATCTTTGGTTTTTCCCTTTTCGCCTATTTATTATTTGTGTTATCAGGATGTTTTGTGAATCTCTGTAAGCTACCATAACTCTTTCTTAAAATATAGCAAGGCATAGAGAGTCACAGATGGCTGTGTACTATGGGGCACTTTGTACCTTGTCTCTTATTAAGTCAATTTCATAGGGCTTTTACTAGTTTCGGAGCCTGCTATAACAGAATACCACAAACTTGGTGGCTGAAAACATCAGAACTTTATTGTCTCACAGTTCTGGAGGCCGGAAGTCCAAAATCAGTATCAATGGGCCCAAATCAAGGTGTTGGCAAGACCACACTCCTTCCAGAGGCTCTGGGGTAGAATAATTTCTTTCACTCTTCCAGCTTCTGGTGGTTGCTGGCATTCACTGACTTATGGCCACATTATTCCAATCTTCAAGGCCAGAATCTTCAAATATCTCTCTGCCTCCTCTTTACATCACCTTCTCCTCGATGTGTATCAGATCTCCTACTGCCTTCCTCTTATAGGGTTATGTGTAATTGCATTTAGGGCCCACAGGATAATCCCAGATGATCTCCCTATCTCAAGATTCTTAATTTATTCATATCTGCCAGGGCCCTTGTCACATATATAGTAGGATTTACACGTTCCAGGGATTAGGACTGATAACCTTGGGGGACATTTTCCTGTCTACCACAGACTTGGAAACAGCAAGTCTATGATATTGGCCTATAAAAACTGTTACTGACCAATGGGGAAGTTTAAATATTACGGTGGGCAAACTAATGTAACAGAATAAAATTTAACCTCCTGTGGATATTAACTTCCAGACCTTGGCTTATCCACTTGTACCTCCAAGCTAAAGCTTCCTTAAGGACACTTGTTATAGTCAGAGATTGCCTTATATATTTCTATTTTCTACAGCCCAGTGTTTTAAATTTGTGGGTTATGAATCATTAGTTGGTTGTGAAATCAATTTAGTGGGTCGTGAACAGCATTAAAAGACATTAGAATAGGAAGTATCAGAGTGCATCACATGTAGTGAGGGTAATTATTGTTTCATGAAACAGTATGTTTATGTGTATTGGATCATGATGTAAAATATACTGCTCACTCTGAGTTGTGGTAAAATGGAAAACCTCTGCTGTAAGCAAATTCATGCTTCATCGTACTCAGTGGCAAAT